GAGACAAAGAGTAGGAAAAATCGGGGATTTAAAAAATCCCTGTTATTACCGGATACCTGTTATTACCGGGCCTGTTATATATGGTTTTCACTGTATGTTTTTCATACTGTAATTTATTTAAAGAGAGCCCGTATCAAGAAAAATAAAGCCTCAACAGGTGACAAGATTGACTTTACCAGTTCTCTTGGATATATAATATTATAACTACCCAGATCAAAATATCTAGAACACAAAACAACATAAAGAATTTCTACAAGGCATATGGGCGTGGCTTTAACCTGTATACTTAAACAGTATTTGCAAAACAGAGCACCTAGTGGGCCTCCAGCAGCAGTAAAAGAAACAGGATTATTATCTATGATTCTTGGTTGTTATTTTAATAAACTTCAATGACCTTAATCAGCAAACAACAGGATTAAAGGCTCAAAAGTAATTTGGAAGTGGTGAAGACTGTATCCATGACTCTCAGAAGTATACAACAGGCACATATTACACTGATATTTCACACAATGTGACACCGACATGATGACATGACATAAAAGTTGACAACAGGATCAGATGAAATTCTAAAAAAGATACAAAACCCCCCCCACAAAAAAACAATCACGTCAGGCAGTCAGCTAAATTTACCATCAATTAGATTAGAAGGATGCAATTTAAATCTAGATTCTAAAGCAATATTAGCTAGTCACTGGAATTTAGATCAAGACGGTGCTGTGACAAGCAGATCTAAAGGTCACGTCATTAAAGTAGACATCTATAGCGCTAGATAAACTTATTATACCAAAAAGTAAAAACTAAATCCAGACATATAATAATAGAATGATATATTTTAAGCCAACAAAACTTCCTGTGACTTTGACGTACCGTATGCAAGGATAGGTACATAAAATGTGTACAAGTGAGTCTGATCCTGTAACTGAGAGCAAGAAGGTTGTAAACTGAAACATCGTAGTCTTTTCCCCTTTTAAATCTAATAGTATCGATGTTAGAATCAATTACGGTAAACAGCCTGAACTGAATTTATTGTTGGTGGCAGCAGTACAGAATTGGGCAAAGGGTGTACAGGAAATTTTTGTTCAGAGTATCCAAACTTAAAAATGTCACACATTGCGCCTGCCACGCCATGGAAGTGACTGCCATGATAAGGGTTAAATATAATGAGTATAGTTTTCAACTTAGTGCGATCAATATTTTTAAAGAGATACCAAAGCTGTTTGCTTTTATATAAAATACTATTTCATCAAATAATGACACTAAACCGTGCCTTGGGAAAAACTCACCATGCTCAATAGCATTGACCCTACGGTTGGTAATTTTGATCACTTCATCCAAAGTAATGAAGGATGTCTGTAGTGAAGCAAGTTCTACCAACAGTGTAATGGCACGTCCATAGCTCTTTTTAGCTTTGTCTATCTGTTGTCCACCCCTGGCAAGACCAGTCAACTCATACGCTGGGGACAAAATGGTGAGCAAGGATGACATCATGACAGACTTGTGGTATACAAATTCTTCTCTTAAGAAGAGAGAAGAGTAGATTAACAGTTCCATCAATACTTATACTCAAAGGAAATGAATGCTCATTGTTACTGACAAAGCAAAACAAGTAATGTACCATTAAACCTCTTTAAACCGCCACCCTTGGTACGAGCATAAAGTTGGCGGAACAGCGGGGCTGGCAGTTCAATGGGATTCCTCTCTTATAGCCCTGACAGCCCAATGTCAAGGGACATTATTCTGCTGTGTGATCTATGTTCATGCACCATGTATTCAGAGCCGCATCTTTTCTCTCTCTCTCTCTGTGTCTTTCTTGTGGGAGAAAGACAATCAAGTAACCAACCAGTGGGTGTCGTGCACCATGTGTTGTGTGTACCCCAAGTCGTCAGTTTGCTGGTGGACACATTAATTAAATAATAACCGTACAACTCAGACAGTTGGCGGATGGCAGTGTGGTGAAGGCATAAATGCTATGTTTATATATAGATGCTTCTTTTCATACAGTGGCCAAACCTGGAGATAAACGGGTCTGGCGGTCCAACGAGGTTTGACTGTACATTCTGAAGAACAACTCCCCCCACCCCCCCCCCCAAAAAAAACCCCACATAAGAGGTGTATATTATATTCACACGCATACACACATAGAGTAGAGTATCTTTAGCACAAGTAGTCTATTCAGGCACACAGGATGGCAAGAGAGAGAGAGTGTTTTACAGCAGCAGAAAAGTCTGGGAGAAAATGGAAAAATTAAGAAGAAGTCAACAGAATCCTTTACCTTTATTATTATAATGTACACAATACATCTCTGCGTAATGTAAAGTACTTTCAAACATAATCATAAGAACAAAAAAAAAAGCTGTATGTCACAGAAAGCAGACTGAAATTAGCTAAACACTTTGAGCCCAGCTTGTCTAGGAGGCACCACTTTCTTTAGTGTCCAGTGATCACTTCCTCTGACAATAAGGTAAAATAAAGACATGGAAAACACATCCAGACACTGAAATCACCAATAAAAACTCAGGTACCGGTATCTAACTTCAGCTTATTTCCATTCTTAAATTTGTGAGATGGCAAAACCTTCATGATTCTAATGACTATGTTTCAAATTGAAATTACTGTAAAAAATATTTTTCACTTACTATCACTTCCATCTTGATACGACTCGAAAATTGGAAGCGTCACACCTGTTCAAAAAACAGAGGATACAATGAGAAATCCAGACAGCTGTTGGAAAAAAAAGCTTTTTACTTTGTTCATTTTCTAAATTTTGTCTAAGTGCCCAAAGGAAATGTTCATGCAACAAAATTAGCCTAAAACATTGAAGAGCAAGTATAGTTAACACATTTCGCGACCCCAGTGCTTTCTTGTCATATCTCCATTTTTAACAACAAAGAAAACAGTTCATAAAAAAAGAGTGAGCTTAAGAACATGTCACAATTTCATTGTTTTAAAAAATGGAGCTACGACAAGAAAGCACTGATTTGTTCATTGATGAAATAAAAACCTTCAGTACAGTAAGGAAAAAATAGTTTTTAGATGAGAAATAACAGACAATGCTTTTCAAATAAGTAGGAGCTATTTCTGTTGCAGCGGTGAATTTAGTCTGATTTTAAAAAAGAAAAAAAAATCCAGTAAATTGCAACTTACAAAAATACTTCACCAACTTCAGAAATCAGTCTCTGAAGTGCTATGCAAGACGAACACAAATCTCACCAACAACATTTTCTTTCTTGCTCTTGACCTTTATGGAAGCTTTCAAAACACTTTGAAGAACTGTATGATTTATATCTCCACATGTAAACTTTGCCTCTGCCAGTGAAAACTGAGCTGACTTCATAACTTCTCCAACTTCCGATTTAGTCTGGAACGGAAAGAAAAAAATTGGGGAGGGGGGGGAGGGTAAAGAAAAAAAAGTTGGCAATTATGTCAGGACAATAGGCAAAATCATTCATTCTATAGTGCGTGCTGTCAAAAATTTGTGGTGCAACTTCAAATATATCTCTTTAACGGGTAAATCCATGTCATCCATATTTTGCATAGCAGTTTGTATCAATTTGTCTTTAACTAAATCATATTTTTCTAGAACATTTGGGGCTAGATTAAAAAACCGTTCTTCATAAATTAATATAAAATACATGAAATCTCTGTCACACGTAAAATGGGATTGTTCACAGCACTTCCCGCTTCTCACACACATTTTAATTACGCATATGGCCTACGTCACAGCTCATCAAAGACAATTTTTACTTGCAAAACTTGTTACAAGAAATTATTGTAATAGTGAACACATTTTTGAATAAATGGCTCTCAAAACATGCGTTCAATAAGCATAATGTCCCGATGAGAAAAACCTGACGGACTTGCTTAGTTGCTATTAAAGCTATATTGCCCCAGCTGTAAACATTTAAAAATCTGTAGAAATCACCCACTTGGATTTTTTATTAGTATTTATTAAGGAATTTTCTAGAATACAGCTTGCAGGTGTTTATAAAAATTTTGATCTGTTAAGACAAATTGATGCAAGTCACTGTGCAAAAATTGGAGAACCTATGTTCGATAGTTGAGGAGATATTTGAAAATAAGTCGCACCACGAATTTTTTACCGCACTCTAATTGAGAACAGATGCATTATTATTTATATATCTGTCAAAGAGATGGCACTAAAGGTAATCGAAAACTTGCACATTTTTTCTAAAACCAACAGTTACCAGATGTATTATGTGTCTTTAACTAAACAACATTGTCCACTTAACAGCAACCCACATAAGAACAACCTCTGCCAGCAACCTAACCTTGAGTACTGTAACAAAATTTTCCTTCATAAATAACCGTCTTTACAGCAACTTTTCCCTCAAAAACAGAAACTTTCATTGCTATAAATTGCCCGACAAGGTTTTTTCTAGGCAGTTCAAAAGAGACTTGCCGATAATTTTCCTGTGTGCGCAACCCACCCCACCCCCCTACTCTAGTAACTCTTATCAAAACACCTGCTTTGGCCAGTGATACACTATGCTGAGTAAATGAGCTCAATTCACATCTTCCCACCTAGAGTCTCCCAGCTGAGGGAAAAAGAGTAAAATTGCTGCCCAGTCATCGAACATTGGCTCCCTTGAATAAACAATGTCTGGTCAAACCGTGGCTACTGATACTGCCTACATTATCACTTTTTGAATTATTAACGTCATCACATACTGTGAGGAGGATTTGTGTGTGTGTATATGTGAGGATGTGGGTGGTATAACCCCACCCCCCACCCCCACAGTTGAAAATTCAGTTACAGCAATCTCTTGTAAAGAGCAACCTAGGCTTGCTTTCCAAGGGGGCTGCTGTTGTTAGGCGGACAACACTGAATCATGAATGTATAAAATAGAGACATAACTGTGTGGTGTCCTGTACAGGGTAAACAGAAAACATAGTTTCTCTGGTTTTTAAAAGGATAAAGTATTGTAGAAGAATAACTCATTTTTGTATCTTTTTAAGAAAAAAAAAAATAACCCAAGATTTTCTAGTAATTTTCATTTCTAGCTCTCCTTTTATGCTATAAGCGCATTGCAGAAAGTACTAAGAAATACTTACATCAATGATTTTTTTCAGAATTGCTCTGAACCTTAAAGTCAATGCGTCTGCTTTTTTCTTGAGCAAACTGTGACCTTTCTGAGCTCCTTTTAGCCTCGCCTTAATATTGGCCAAGGCCCTGAAAGTTACAAACACACACACACAAAAAATCAATTAATTGTACAAGACATGAGTAAAAAGAAACCTACTTCAAATCAAAATAAACATACAATTAAGAAGGGTGACTTTTGGTGCATCAAAAAAAAAAATATTCTCTTTTCTTAGAACAGTGGATCTTGAGAGAACTGAGATCATGAGCAAGAGGATCTTAGGCAAAGAGTAGCATATAAAGAAGTCATAGAGTAGTATTTGGCATGATATATCAACCACAAGGGGACCATTGTAAGAGAAAAAGACAGTAAAAAGTCTCTTTCTGCTTTGGAATCCAGGATACAAAATGACAGGCTTGTCTCCTTTCCCCTTTATTCATATATTCGATTTATCCATTTTGATGGAATTTCAAAATAGGAAATTCATACGTTTCATCTTCCATGACAATGTTTGTAAGTCGCATGGGCCCATGGAGTTCAAACATGTTGAACAATCCTGTGGTACATTTAACCCTTTAGACCCTTTTTTGTTCCTCAGCTAGTAAATTGGGAGTTGCCCGAAGGCCACAAACTTTTTTCTTAAGATTTCTCCATGAATAATACTCTGCACCGACCAAAACAAATGTTCAAACATGTCACAAGACTTAAGTCCTCAAACAGAAATATGGGAATCTTAAGCAGTTCTGTGGCGATAACACTGGCAGCTTTCTCACTCATAATTTGGGCAGCCAGAACATGTGTCTCTCTTCCCTACATTCTCAAATTAAGTTAGATTAAACAAGCAGATTCACAACAAACACTTTTCAAATATTCAAGAATTAGTATGGGCAATTCGCCAACTTAACAGGGCATATAGCTGTACAGGTAAAAACAGGGTATTTTTTGTGAATTCCATCTCATTTCCTCTAGAGTGCGAACTATCCTTTGTTAGTGAGATCATAAAATAATCAAGAGTGATGCCACATGAAATTCAAATGGTTTGTTAGAGTGCATAGAGACTGATTATATTGCAACTGCTGTTATGACTGAGAAGTCAGTTTCTTAGAAGCAGGATGGCAACTTCTATTACTTTCTGATTCACCCTCATATTTATAAACTTGCAGGGTTTTTTTGTTGTCATTTATTATAAAGGCAATACCAAAACCTTCCATTAAATAATATAAAATAAGTTCAGCAACTATGCCCTTTATAATTTATGACATGCACGCTTCAACTTCAAGGGAAAGTAGGCTCTTCACAGATCGAAATGACTATTCGGACTCGTGTCCGATTAAACATACATTATAATTGGACTTTGAATCGAGTCCAGCATGACATCCCTTCCGATCCTTGCTCCTAAATATTTCCAGCATTTATGAATTTTTTTCCGATTATAATGATAACAATTGAGACGCGAGCTTTAGTATCCAGTTACTAGATCTATCTAAACTGGCCCTCCCTGCATCATTAGTATGAACAGAACAACTAAATTGAGTTGACCGTTCCAGGGGCAAAGTTAATTATGTCGACCAATGAGATGGCACTAAGCGACCACGCACTCTCTGCCTGTTGGGGGAAGAGGTGTTGGGAAGAGGTCAGGCTGTCGATTTTGTGCGATGTGATTTTTTTTTTTTATTATGAAATCAAACATGTGGACAGACAAATGGTGATGGAAGTAATGATGATGCTGTAGGCTAGCGGTGGTGGAAAGACAACGAGTTTTCAGTTACTGTGTTCGTAAACACTGCCAATGGGCAATGAGAGTGCAGTCTTTTGACTTACTTACAGTCCTAGTAGGTAATTCTAGTTCTAATTCTGGTTTTATGTAAAATCCCCTGACAACAGTTATTTATGTAACCTCCTTACACTCACATTCTCACTTAGAAGCTGAGTCCTAATAAATAAAACATTTTTTTTTGGACCGGAGTCCGAATAGATAAAACCCATTTTCGAACTCAAGTCGGAATAGATAAAAAATCTAATCAGACTCGAGTCCGAATAGAGCTGGCCTTCCCAGATAGCCACGCCTCCAGCCGGCATCCGGTACAGGCTACATTTCCAAAGTTAAGACTTAATTGTCAATGTCTTTTTATCTGATTGTTGAAGGTTTATTTCTTTTTAATATGCAATTGTAAACCTATGTCTCACATTTGCTGAATTTGGTAATGGGTAGGGTTACAGGTGGGTCGTACATCTAAAATAGGAAAAAGTTACAGTCTGGGTAAGGGTTAGGGGTAGGTTTAGCTCTAATAATATAGCCCTCTAACCCTACCCCTTATTATCATCTATTTTATCCCCCTATCAAGTGTTAGAATTAAAACTCAGGATATGGCAAGGATGCAAGGGTTAGTCCTACTAATCCTACTCTTTAATCAATGCCTTTATTTTATTAGCCTACTAGTACTAGGCCTACTTTATTACTTGGAAGAAGCTAGCCGTACTTAATGACGGCTAGACTGAGGCTAGCCGTATTTAATAATGATGGCTAGACTGACAAACAGCAAAAAATAGGCCTACTGAATTGTAAATAAATGTATAGTTTGCAATACCTAAAGTATTTGTATTTGAGACGAAAGCAAAAGGTGCCTTACTGATAGAGCATGTATTTTGAACCTGAATAATTACTAATCAGACCTGTGTACTCAACAGGTTTCTAATAGGGCCTAAAATAAGTACGGCAAGGCTGGCAGGCTAGCTGTACTTAATAATGATGGCTGAATTATAAATAAAATTTTTGTTTGCACTACCTAAAGTATTTGTATTTCAGACTAAACTAAAAGAGGTGCCTTACTGACATGCATGTATTTTGAACCTGAATAATTACTAGATCTAATGAGACCTGTGTACTCAACAGGTTTCGGTCAATAGGGCCTTAACCCTTTGTTATTAATTTACCAAATCCAGCTTGTCAAAAGGGCATAAAACCAGGCTGCAGTTATTGGTAAAATAGTACATACAACTCTCACTAGTTATTAGTACAATTGTACCGATAACCAAATATTTTTACAGCACGGTTTCAACGCAACACATAGACCATAGGCTACATCTAGTAGATCTAGACATGAGGTCTGACGAAAAATTTGAAAATTTCCGCTGGCGTAAAATTGGAAACACTGATCTAGTAAGACAGAACATGCAGGCCTGTGGGCATGTACTGTTATATGGATAACTGTACAATTGTGTAGCAATTGTGTGTACAATGTTGTACGGATAACTAGATCTAGACAGAGCTGTTCACACAATTGTACAGATAACCACTTTGTAAAACATTGTTGGAATATGGAAAACAGTCCAGTGCAGGACAGCAGACCTGCCACTCTATGAAACCTCAAAATCAGGATCTGCGGGAGAAAAAATCGGGATTTGGTGAAAAAAATCGGGATCAACAGCAAATCATCAAGGTGACTGCCAAAGCTGACTTAAAATGTTTCCAGGGGCGTCCATAAACTTCTTGGCCTATATGCCTTCTGAGTGTCTTTGTTTGCGCGCGCGCGCGCGTGTGTGTGTGTGTGCGCGCGCGCGCGCGCGCGCGTGCGTGCTGTCATTATTTTTTGTAAGTCCTGAAGATTCACGTCAAGCACTCCTTAAGTCCAAGTGTCTATACCCCCCCCCATCCACCCCAACCAATAAGTCCCGAAATACATGAACTTAAGTTGACCCCATCAACGGACGGTCCCCGACATGCAGAACTCACACGGCGATGTCATGTCACGTGACGCAAATGCGCGATTGAAACAATTTTATTAACGGGTCCGCCTAACTGCGCGTTCACACAAAACGCTCAGATGAGCGATAGTCGTTCTACTTCTCGTACTCTAGGATAACAACGGCGGCCGACCGACCAAATGTACCAACAAATCTCTTATCCCTCATAATGCGTTCAGACTAAAGCAACGACAACGGCCGTATGTTAGTCTTGTCAGCGCAGTTACATGTACATGTAGTTGTGTAAGGCTTAGAAAGACAGTCGCTCGTCCGAGTGTTTGGTGTGAACGCACAGTTACCAGACCTCGGACAAGGCTTGTTTTGAAAGTACCAGCGGAAGTACGAATATTATCGATTATTTGTATGTTCCAAATTGTAACAGTTACCAGGCTATCATCGGAGAATTTTGAGTGCGGGCAAAGATCACACACAACTTGGGGCGAGTCAACTACTAAATGCGGCATCGATATTTCGGGAAATAGTGCTCCGAGTTCCTACAGACAAAAAGTTCAACGGGTGCTTCCCGCGATAAAGGAGAAGGCAGAGTAAGTTTTTAGAAAATTCCGGCACAACAGCAGACTGGGACAAAAAATCGGGATACACGCGATCGAAATCGGGAAAATCAGGATGCTTGAGATTTGGGACAAAAAATCAGGATATCCCGACTAAATCGGGATGAGTGGCAGGTCTGGGACAGTTGAGGGCTGGATTGTACTTAATCGGACCACCCGTCTGGGCCCCCAATTACTACGCGCCCCTAGCCTAATTACGCACTCATAGTTTCTCTATGTGCGGACAAGAGGAAGTTCCGCGGGCGACTTAGCGCAGAGCGCACACCAGCGGCGAGGCGAGGTGAGCGAGAGGTGGTTGTTGAGGATGGGTAGGGGATTTAACTTCCGTGGACGCACCAAGTAGCCTATCATAACAACAGTGGGGGGTTCAGGGGCCCTGGCAACAATAATAAAGAAAACACACACAAATGCAAAACAATAACATGAGCGGACCATGCCGTTAAGTGGACAATTGTGTCTACATATCATTATAACAACAGTGGGGGGTTTTATGGGCTAAACTGCCATAATTTTTGCTGTAGAACAAAAGTATGGCCACTAAAACCCTTGCAAATCAATTGTTTTCAAGTATTAGGCATATCAATCCTAATTGCCAAAAACATAAAATCTTTGTGAAATGCAGGGGGGGGGGGGGCGCATGCCCCCTGAAACCCCTCAGATTCTTTTTAGGTCAGGGGTGCCCCCCCTGAAACCCCCCCATGCTGTTAGATTAAGTCACTTAATACTATTTTCAAACATCAATAACTCAATAACTATTAATTTGCGGCAAAAATGAAGGCCATATTCGTGTTCAGCATGTACAATACTAGAAAAGAAGTATATCGTCGGTCGCTTGATGAAATCGTGAATTCCACACGAAGCAAATTTTACAGGAGAGGGAAAAAACTGATTTTCTCCGTCATATGGTGTTCAAGAAATAAACTAAATGGATAAATCTGATCAATTACCTTTTAGAAATAATACTGTAGTATATTTTTTACCGTAGATGGTCATTTTTTCGAAAAAGTGTGGGGTTCACGATTTTCATATCTCGCCTGATGCGGTCGTGAATTCCACGATTTCGTCAGTCGGCTTTATGGAACGCGGTTTTGTATTCACGGTTATTAGGCAGTATGTTTTCTCTTATTAGAGGCCCTGGTATGTTTAGAAATATTTGAAAGCACGAAAAATACTGTTATAAGAAAAAAATTTTTTAATCAATTTAAAACTGAGTACAAAATTACAGACTAAGTGAAACAGAAAGCTATTCATTATTTTACCACAATAAACATCTCTCATTTTTACATGAATGGGATATTGTATGTAATTTATAAAATCATACTCCTTCATTTGCGTGCTTTCTCTCTTTCTATCCTTTTTTTCTCCAATTGTGTGTAAGCGTATGTCCTTTTTTATTGGGCTTGGACAGGGTGGTGGTGGATGGGTTGAGAACTTGGTTTATGTCAAACTTTTATACCCCGTGAATAACTGAATGATCATCTTTCATTATCTTACTCTTTTTGTCTATCAGATCCTGAAAATTACTCTTTGCCATTTATAAGGAGAATGATACAGTGGTAGGGAACTGTTTGATAAGTTTTCTTTGTCTCTGGACTTTATAAGACTCTCCCACTCTCCGTTAGAGTTCAGTTTGCAAAGAATTTCTCCTTAAGTATATCAGAGGCTTCATACTGCACTTACAGTTGGTCTTCTTTTTTCGACCCGACCTGACATTTTTGAAAATGTCTTTTATTTAGAGCCGCAGCTCAATGACGTCGTGCATACTTTCTACTTGCATATGAGTGGGGCCTCTAATAAGATTTTGTTTTCAAATTCGTGTTTGCTCTAGTGGAAAAGGCATTCATGGGATTAGAAATAGATGCAATTTTGTGCTAATACACACACACACACACACACATCCGTAGCTGTATAATAATATATTGTTATAACCTTCTATGCATATGTGCACGTTGAAAAGAAGTCCATCTAACAACCTGTGAATTCATTTGCGATCAAACCACCTTGTGTCTTGTGTCATAAGTAATAGATGGCATCATACGAGGTCGCATTGAAGATTATGTGCATGTTTCTGTAACAAAAGCTGGGTGAATTGATAGACACTGACAAAAGTACACCCTGAAGATTCAAGCAAATCATCACAAGGTCTTCTTGCCTAAGAGCAGAGGTTTTATCCATGGCGTGCCCTTTCTTTGTCACTTTCTTTTCTGACATGCGAGAATCCCACTTAGTCTTGCTGACGCTGTCAAGACTCAAAACTCACGCACAATTCACAATGATCCTTTTTTGGCTCACAGATCGACATGGTCTTTTCATCTAGCACATATTTGAGTAGTCTGACATACAAGGCAGATTGTCCCTGACCTGGGAAGGCTGTTTCGTAAAATCAAAGAAGCTCCGACAGATTACAGAATCAGGGATCAAGATACAGTTTTCCAGAGCTTTGCTGGCAATAGTGAGTAGGAACCTTCAGAAGCATGTCCACAGATGTGAACAGAAATTCCTTGGCTTGCATGACCATTGTGGATTGTTTGGTGGTGCAGCTGGGTTGGGCTCTTCTAAAGCACTCTTCACAAAGTACTGGAGGACCCAGATTGTCACCAATAAGGGCCCGAGGAATATCCTCGAGATCAGATGGACAGAGTCACCAATGAAGAAACAATGAGCAGAACATTTCAAGACAGAAGAAAGCTGTGGAGATGGACTGGACTGAGATTACCATTTGGAAATCAGGCAGCTACATAACAAAGAAAGTTTTAATTTTGAGTCAACAGGTTACACGAACAAGGGAAGGTCATGTGGAACCTGTACAAAAGTCGCAGAGAATGATGAATAGAAAAGGGGAAAGACATTTGAAAAATATGAAGAAGTTAGCCCAGGGTAGGGAATAGTGGAAAGTGTTTGTCAGTACGGGGTGAGCCAGGAGATGATGAAACTGACATGGGCACTTCTAGAGCAATTTACAATGGGTGAGCCTGGTCATAGACATCAACATCCTGCAAAGTTTAATCTTCTGGTCATTCTGTTTCAGATAATAAACCCAAGTGTGCATCTTTTAGCTTGGTGCATCGCATTTGAAGTGTACTCTTTCGTGTTGAGACGATCTTTCACATAGGTCTTTCAGTCTCCACATGTCAAAGTCCAAACAAAGTTGTTCTGTCTTTGTCTTTTAAAAGTGAGTAGTCATTTGATTTGATAGAGCAATCATATCTGGTTTCAGTTCATTAGTTTTTTCAATCGTCCTTTCTTTTGATTTGTATTGCTCTCTCTCTCTCTCTCTCTCTCTCTCTCTCTCTCTCTCTCTCTCTCTCTCTCTCTCTCTCTCTCTCTCTCTCTCTCTCTCTCTCTCTGAGCTTAAAAAAGCCCCTTTGATCTGTTCCAACGCAGTATGTACGTTGAATGACACTTTTTTTTCATTAAAGTCTGGTTCTTCTACTATTTCCTAGCTGTATTTTCTGTAGCTTTCTTTGATGCCCAAAATGGTTCACATGCTCGGCTTCTCCAAATTCCTTTTCTCGTTAGGGAACTCTAGATCTAGATGTCAAATCAGTGAGCTTTCAATGTCAAACAAGTTTAAGTTGTGATACAACACAGAAATATACTTGTAATTTATACTTGACTACGTTATTTTAACAAATATTTTTGTAAACGAGCAAGATCAAAAATTGTATAACCCATTACGAGAAGGGCATGTGCACACACGTTACACATTCGAATTTGACTGTCGTTGTGAAACAATACCAGTCCTGCATCCAGGAAACACACATTTTAATTATGTGACCGAAGTGACTATTCGGACTCGAGTCCGAATATGAAAAAATTGTTATTCAGACTTTGATTCTTATCCAACCGCTTCCTGTCCTGCCTCACTCGTGACTCGCCTCAGGCTGGGTAGAGACCGGGATCATTTCGGGCAAAATGGCGTTTTGTGCAGGATCCGAGTTTTTATCTTACGATGAATCTGAGGCCGGCCTGAAAAGTTATAGCGCTTCTAATAAATGTTTATTTGTCAAGAGGTCACCAAAAGCAATTACAGATGGCACGATTTTCTTATATTACGTCAGGTTACACGTTTGAGTTGAGATAATTCAAAAATTGTTTTACAGGGACATGTATCTGACCGAGCACTATCAAAATAATTATTAAATATATGCACAAAAAAAAATTTTTGAAAATTTGTGAAACTCACGGTTTTATCAGGCGACCGACGATACGTGAACATGAGACGGGTGCACGGGTTTACAAAAACAAACAAAAAACACATATAAATGCAAAACAATAACATGAGCGGACCATGGCGCTAAGTGGACAATCGGGGTAATTAGAGTTGGAACAGGCCGAGCCTTGCTTCGCAGCACTCGCCGAGTCGCGAATAGGACCGAGGGGGGTTGCAAATGAGCTTCTGTGCGCATCTCTCGCTTTCCATTGGCCGGACCACAGAGTCATGAGCAAAGAAGAATAGTGGACCACGTGATTAGATTGTGACCAATTAGCGTCAAGGTATCAGGGTCATGGGTCAAAGGGCACGGTCGTGATGACTGAAAAACCTGGTAGCAGACGCCAGTCGGTACTTGGCAGTCGAAGGGTGAGGACGTAGGAGAGTGAATAGGGGAGCTCTGAAAGGAAGAATAGCGGACCACTAGACACCAAGGGCGCCATTGTAGTGAAAGTAATTCCGACTGGCTTTCAACATATTTGTGTATAGGTCTAGAACTCAAGTTCAAGACCTTGAGACTTGAGATCTAAAAGAATATAGAATCTAGTAGAGTAGTGTAGGCTTATAATGGATGTGGAGGAAGGGAAGAGAGGTCAGTCAGGTGACAATTATAATTGACATTTCAATACTAGAATCTACATTATGACATGATCTACAATTGAAACCAAGAGACATTATCTTCATCTAGGCCACTGCGACGAAGACTACAAAAACAAAAATAAGTGTAGTACTGCTGACACCTTGACAGATAGACAACGTAAGTCCCGATAATGCGAACGACAAAACTAATAAAACTTCGACTCCGACATCTCGGTCGTCATGAACTGGTTGACTGCTTTTCCCCTGGTCATACAACAATAAGAAACATTAAAAATGCAAACGATCAATTGCATGCACTTACATTCGAGACGGGAACACATTTAGTCTCTCTTTGTCCGACATTTTGTCGAATTTTCAGGAGCAGCGCAGGGTGTAATTATTATGCTCTCGGTAGATCTGCTGTTCAGTTGTCCGTCAGCCGTCAGCTAGAAAAACTTGCTCTTATAATGTATCATGTGATGCGAATAGCTTCCCTTAGCGGAAGCAATATTTATCAAACATATTCTTTTTGTACGAGAGAGTTACCTTGTGAGTTTCCGGAAGTTAGAGTATCTATGGTGACGCTTACTGTGGTAAAGTTCGCTGTTGCTGCGATTGAGAGAGCTTGATACAGGTACGTTTTTAAATTGTTTGACGGCATAATTTATGGAATCCCTAATTTATGATTGCAATTCACCTGAATACATCTTTATTGATCGATGCTTGTTAAGTATCAACGGGCTTATGAATGGTGAAAGAAACCAGTTGTCTGCTTCAAAAATCCGTCAACAAAATTGACATTTGATTGAGCCCGAGCGCATGTTGCATGAACATGAAGTTAATTTAATAATAGGGTTGGCCTACATTCCACACCAAATATAGTAGGCCTACCCTAACCAAAACTTGAGATCCACCCTTGATTCGACCGAACTTAACTTTTCAATAAATATTGTTCCACATGAACTCATGTTTTGCATTCAAAATAAGGCCGACACTATTTCTCCGAACGTTTGGGAAAATAAAGCTAGGCACTTTTTCTCCGAACGTTCGGGAAAATAAAGCTGGGCACTATTTCTCCGAACACTCTGAAATCACATCCTTTCCCGCAAATTTCGGATATTATATAGAGTATAGGCCTACCAAAGATTGTTTGTATACAATAATGGTTCAATCGGTCCAGAAAAGTCTGCAGTAAATATTTATAAAGAAATGCTACAGTTCCAAACAGTTTTTCGCTACAGATATGACGTGTTGCCTATGAAGGGTGCTGCTCTTAAACTTAATGAACTTAATGTATTGTGTTCACTCGTGTGCTGTCTAGATCTAGAATCTAGATCTACGGAGGGTTATTGATAACGACACATAGAACTAGCTTCTGCGTTTGTCGCGGCCGCGACCAATCAATCGTTGGTCGATTTTTTGGAATTTTTTTATAGGGGAATAAAAGTCAAATTAAAAAAAAAAAAGAAAAAAAAGAAACCGGAACCTCTTTACTTTTGAAAGAAAGTTCACTTAGCTTAACACTTAGTCTCTTTCTCACTTGTTGTCACCACGTTGATTTGTTGAATACGTTACAGTTACTTTTATTTTCCCTCTTTGACTCTTTGTGGTGTTTTATTTTGTTAGTGTGTAATTTTTTTCTTGTTACTGTTCTGATGTGTTGTTTTTCTACCATTTTTTTGTGGGGAAAGGAGGGGGGGGGGGGGGTGTTGCATAGTGTAACGTCATTTAATTTGATGTTCCTTCCTTCATTAGATTCTAAATATATATACATGTATATATATATATAGGCTATAGATTTAAATGTTTTATGTTAGAGCGTACGTTCCACCAAAACCGATTACATGTACTGACACTGGCAGGCCCCTTAATGTGTGTGATTCCATAATTTACATGTAATATCCTGTACTTTTTAAAAAAAAATTACGCACTTTTAGGGTTAAAACAGGCAATTTTCTTCGGACAGGTTGACACACACGCTTATTTGTTTATTTTTGTGGTTGTTTATGGGCTGTTCGACTAATTTTGATTTCATTCTGTTGTGAAACCTTTCTTTTTCACGTTTTTACACTCACCTAAAAATCTCTAGACTAGCTCTTTAAAATTGAAATAGATAGACCCAAAAATTTGCTCCTGTGTGTGTGTGTGTGTGTGTGTGTGTGTGTCTATTCATGTGCATGTGTTAGTGTGTCTGTGTGTGGTAGTAAGTGTGTAAGTGGAGAGTGAGGAGTGTGTGTGTTTTTCGGGCTTTTAAATTTCAGCCTTTATTCAGTAACAGTTAAAAGTATACAAAAATAGAAACACAGGATCTACACTCCAGGGCTCATGAGTCGTTCCTCTCTTTCAGTTTCACTCATTCGTTCAATTCCCGTGTTCTCTCCCGCGGCTCATTCCCGTCCTCATGACTTTCACACCCTACCCCCTCCCTCCAGGCACACACAAAGAAAATCTCATTCATTCCCTTGCACCCTGCGAACCATGGGGTGGGGGGGGGGGGTGTCGGTGTCGTCGTCTTGTAGTTGCTGTCACCTGTGGATACACTCGTAAATTCTACCTTTGACCCGCTCTTTCACTCACACTGTCTCTCCATCCACAACTCAGCTCGTCATACGTTCAAAAGTTGCCCACTGATCACGTTTAGTTAGTGTGTGTATAAGTTTGTGTGTGTACATGTGCATGATGGTGGTGGGTGTGTGGTGGGTGTTACTGAAGGTTGTATGTAGGCGGGCTTGCCATGCGGTGTTCCTTCCCAGACCAGAGGCAGAATGAAAGTTGGCGCCGAACTCTTGCAATAAATAGGCAGAAAATCACGAGACCGGAAGCCGGAAACCGTTAGGAGAAATAAAGATCGGCACTATTTCTCCGAACGTTCGGAGAAATAGTCACTTCGTCAAAATAATGCCAGCTGCTGTTTCTTTCTCACTTTCTCATTCTTTTTTTTTTAATTCTTTTTTTTGGGGGGGGGCTGCACATATAAATTTGTAGCATTTTCTTTTCTCGAATATAGATCTACGTGATTTATTCTGGGAGGAATTCGCTAATTAACAAACCACTGTAAACATATACAATTTAAGTAATTAGAGGATTTGGTTTGGGGTAGGGGAAAGCGGAGGGTTAGGGGTTGGGTCAGGGTTAGGGTAAAGTCTCTTCTATATTGTGTTTTTTGAGATGATTACTCATTACAGAAGTCCTCCTTTGTTCTAATCATAAGCTCTGACATTTATATTATTATAGGTCTCCAAGCATTTTCTGACTTTTATAATTACATACGGTACTCTGAATCCCATGATCGTATGCTATTGGTATGTTTTACTGATTCTGATCCCTTCTATGTTTAACCCTATTACTGGCAAGTGCTGATTAGATTGTCAATAAAATCGGCAATTTCCAGTTGATGGAATCTACACGAGTCTCCACGAATCCACAAAAATGCCGATGCTGAACGAATGTGCACTAGATCTAATTTTAAAAAGAAGGACCTCCTGTAGTTATTAGAACTCTTTTTGAGCCAGAGGAATGGAAAAGATGGTCTGTTATTTTAGAAACGCCGGCAGGCGCGACTCTGCATATCAGTGAAAATGGTTAATTCTTTGGGTCCTCGGCAGTTTCCGATATTTCCGGCAAATTTTAGGGGAGAAATGTCGAAATCGTAAATTTTTTTCAGCGTATGTAAAGCTTTTGCAAAGAGCTTTCCAAATATAAAAAGTTTTCTGGTCTTTGTATCTATCACATATGTAGGGCCTACTTATTTAAACTTATTTTTAAAGATACATCTATAAGAATTTCCCCTGACACATGCAAGTTTACCACTGACAGTAATAAGGTTAAATGTTTTTTTAACTCAAACATTTTCATAGAAGGTAGAAAAGTGATGTTTTTATTAAGAGTGCGAAGTATAGGACAATGCTCAGAATAACCTCTTTTGGAATGTTTTAACTGATCTTGTTTCTAAACCAAATCATTAATAGTTTGCACATTTGATTAAACTACAGAAGTACTTAAACCTCTCGTATTGACCTAGGCAAATAATGACTTTATGAAGTATTCTATGCTTTAATTGCAATTTCTAGTAGCCTACTTTGAAGTTATAGTAAATCATGTAATAATAAAAATAGCATTTGTATAGTGTGAATTCCTGCTCAACAACAAGCTATAGCGCTTTACAATCTCTATTATTACCCCAACAGACCTGGTAGCATTTTTAAACAATTTCAACATCCTAGGAAGCATACATGCAGTGCAAGCTGCCATTTTTATAGGCCCTAACACTAACATACTGACAAGATCTTTCGCTGTCTATGGCCGGGTACCCATTCTCACCTGGGTGAAGTGAGGGAAATTCGTGTAAAATGCCTTTCTTAAGGACACAATGTCAGGCCTGAGGCTTGAACCCCTGAACCCACTACCACTAGACAACTGATGCCACGTGTAGAGAGTAAAATTTATATCAAACAGAATTAAGCATATATATATATATACTCATCATTGTATGCATATCAGTGGTCTGAAATAAAAATGAAAATTGAATGCGGCCCGAAAAAGCTCTATGAATGTTTTTGAATTATAATATTTTTAGGTGAATTTATTGTGTTTAGGCCGCTTTAAAATTTTCCCTAAAAGGGAATAAAAATATGTAACACATCAACAGCAGACTTAAGAATAGAAACAAACATTTTTACTACTCTACCACCGTAAAGAGGACTTTAAAAGTAAGGTCAGTGCATACTGGCTGCCATTGAAAAGTAAAGCTCGTCTCATGATACTAGCGACGATAAAAGTAGGCCCTATATTGAAAGAAACAATATTTTTTATGGAGTTAAAGAATAATTCCATTTGAAGGAATTCCTCTCTCTCATAGGGTCTTTGTAAAAAATCGATTTTTATATCCGAAAAGTTGCTTCTGTTAAAATTCTTTCTTTTTTTTTTTTCAGATATCATGTCGGAACCGCAAGAAGATGCAGCTCCTGCTGCAGCTTCAGAGGGTGGAGAAGAAAAGCCAGGAAGCAGAGCAGAAGGAGCACAAGAAGATGGCAAAAGTGGAACAGGGAAATCACAGGGCAACTCAAAGCAGCCATCGAGATCTCCATCTGTCACATCGGAGAAAAGTCAAGACAATGCTAAGAAAGGGATGGATGAAATTGAGCCTGATGAAAATGCTCAGGATAACAAGGTTGGAGATTGGAGGAATATGAGGCGAATAATTGCAGAGGATCCTGAATGGTCGCTTGCTACTGTCCCTCTTCTAAACGAACTGGTTGTCAAACACATTGTAGCAAATTTTGAAAGTAAGTTCAGTCTTGCGAATTAATGAGCAATTGCAATTTCTAGTACTTTGAAGTTATAGTAAATCATGTAAAGGGTAAAATTTTTATTGGATAGATTATGCATAATATATTGTAATTCATCATTATATTCAAATTAGTGGTCTGGAATAAAGATAAAAATTGAATGCAGCCCCCAACAACTCTGTGAATGTTTTTAAATTGTAATATTTTGAGGTGAATTTATTTTATGTTTACTTTTCTTTTTTTCTAGAAGAGAGTAAAAATATGTAACAAATCAACATTTTAATGTAGAGATACACATAACTGAGGTAATATTGTAGGCTGCATGTATTACATACACAGTACTAGAATGTATTTATTTGTCGTGCTAAATTCTGGTTACTTTCTATCATAATATTATCAGCAGAAATGAAAGATGAGAATGATCTTATAGAAAACAATCAGATTCCCCCATTCCACCATTTTTTAACCCTATCCGTACGCCTGGGGTCATTTTGTACCCCAGGGGTTGTATTCTTCACATTTTAGAACACTTCTAGTGCGAAACTTTCAGTATTTCTCAAAAAATCATTTTGACAGACTGCTATGCAAAGCGCATCGATCGGATTAACGAGTAAATTTTCTGTTTGGAAAGTGGGGGCACAAAGTTCCCCACGTTGTATGGATATGATAGTAAAACATGACACACGGATAGGGTTAAGTATATGTCAAAGTACATGTATTTAGTTAAGCAGGATTTGTTGTTTGGTTTGTTTGGGGGGGGGGGGGGGTTAAATTAGAAACCTTTGCTAACTGTGTTTTTATTCGCCTGCGAGAATTATCCTTTTAGGCTGGGTTTTTGGGGGAGTTTTTAACACTGCAGATGTATTTGCTCAGATGATGAGATAAGAATGATTGAAAGAAGAACATTATATGTAAAGACTGAGCTAAAAAAACTGATGTACAATATAATGAAATTAGTAATAGTAAGTTTTCTTTCTTTTTGCAGATAATTCAAACGTATTGAAGGATCTGCTCACAAAGCACCAAAAGAAAGTCTTGGAGAAGATTTCCACTGACTTACCCTTGAAAGTGACAGCTTTACTCGTTGACGATGAGGGATTTTGGCAAAGGTGTTGCAAAGCCCGTTGGGAAATTTGTGATGTTTCAGCATATGGCCAGAGTTGGAAAAGAATGTACTTTGAGAAGAATTTACAACAGATTATTGAGCTGTTTGTTCCGGAGACAACAGACCCAGCTCAGCTAGATGAAACCCTAGCTCTGTCTGCAAATTTCATTAAAAAACTGGATATCCGCCAGCTCCTCCCGCCTGTGAGGGAGGCTCCAAAGGGCCCAGATTTTGATGATGTTTCTGATGCAGGAAGTGATACTGGTGATGAGCCAGAATGTGATCATTTCAACTTTGGGCCTGTCCTAAAGCAGCTTCCTTACCTGGAAGAACTCCACCTCACATATGGTGTAAGAGACTGTGGCATGAACTTTGAGTGGAGTTTGTTTCAGTTCACAGCTAGAGACTGTCTTCAACTTTCACAGTGTGTTGCTGCATGCAAAACTTTGAAAGTGTTCAGACTTCATCGCAGCAAGGTTGATGATGACAAGGTATGATTTTTATTTATAAAGAGTGACGAGTGCTGTGTGTCTTGAAATAAAAGGCTGCAAATCTTATGAATATTATATTGAGATACTCTCTAGTTTTCTTTGTGATGGGAAAGGGAAATGAAAGTTACAGTTTGTGTCTTGTTCTCATCATGTGATAGAACTTCTAAAATGTCATTCACAACAGTGTAAACCATGGCATTTTGCCAACACATTTTGCTATTGTGCTGCTCTCATGTTAATGTGATCAGTGTTTTAGACATTTAATAAAAATACTCATCCTTGCGTAACAGCCCATTATAACTGCAAACGGTTAAAACTAAATGTGACTAATGCTGCAATGCATATCCTTGAACATATTTTTGTGTAGAATATGTTTTGAACTTATTCTAGTGGTGCAGTGTGGTGGATGCTCAATGGAACTGAAAGAATGAATAATGTCATCTGACTTTGCATGTATGTCCATAAAAAAAGAAAGAAATTTGTCCAAAAAGTCTTCTATGATTCTCATTCTAAGTTTTGATTTTGATTTTCCAACATTATCCCTGATTTGTAAAATGACTTATATGTATTATATATATAAAAGGATAAAAATCAGATATTGATGTGCCTGGCAAAGAGGTTATTAATCTCATTATGTGAAAGAATTAGATTCAAAAGGATATTTTTTCTTGAGCAGAGAATGATCTGATTCTTTTGAAATCTGCTGACATGCTATAATTAGCTGTAGATTCTTTTTGCTGATTGAAATGTTTCATGTTATTGCACAGGTAAGAGTTCTCATAAGTCACATACTGGATCACCCTGGGATGATTGAGCTTGATTTGTCTCACAACATCATCGGAGACCGAGGCGCCCGTGCAGTGGGTAAATTCTTGAACAACCACAGCCAACTGGTGAAACTGAACCTGTGTGACAACCAGATTAGAGTTCCAGGAGCTCAAGCCATTGCTCATGCCCTCACCAAAAATAACTTGCTACAGGTAATTTCTGTTTAACTCACTTGAGCCAGAGTTATTTTTCACCCAACAACCATTGCAGCCTGACACTTAAAAGGTATATATTGAAGCATTAACCTCAAAAAGACTGTGAAAGCTATCATAATTTGTTTTAATGCATTAGAGAAAGAAAGAAATGCTCTCAGAGAAAAAGAAAACAACATCTCATTTGTCCAAATAGTTTTTATTTTATCAATATTTTGAAATGGCAATGTCTGGGGGTTACGCAATTTATAATAAAATCATGTATCGCAATGCAGGGGTGACTGACTTAGTCCGTTACAGCTAAAAAAAAGTATGGCGCATAACTTCACCAAATTTTTTAACAAAACGAAACAAGTGGGTCAACTGTTGGCTCACCGCTCCTCGTAGCTTGTGACCGAAAAACGCTGGAGATATCGATCGATGAAGTGCATCCCATAAATACACAGGATTAGGCCTCCGGGCCAGCGTGGTGTACCGTAAGTACATAGAAATAACATGTATCACTTTTCCGATAAAACTACGACAGCTACCGAGTTGAAAGTTGGCAAGTACCTGCAAAAAGATAAATATGTCCCCATGACGGAGCTCGATTTTCTATTTATTTCTTCCCTGAATTTAGAAAAATATATTTGACAAAAAGTTCCCGTCCTTCTTTGGCCTTTGTGATTATTCTGCTGAGAAACGAAACAAATCTGCGTAGCTCTCCTTCACAACGGAAGTTCATTACCGCTCGCCTAAGAAACTCGATTCAAGAAACGAGGTGAGTAATTTTCGAGACTCACCTGTAGTACGTGGAGATGTGATCCTGTGTATGCATCCAAAGAGTTGTTTTTAATATAGGGCCCAAAGAGAAAAACTTTTTTATAACTGGTTCAAGATTTTTTTGGAAAATATTTTTGTTTGGTCGCTAGCCTATAGAAGTGCCATGCAGAGTTTTGCAGGCATATATAGGTAAATTTGTCAATGAGTTAGAATTTTTTTTACGCTGTCAGAGGAAAATGAACAAGTTATAGACACTGCCTCTGTTATTTTGAAGATGTTGGTGTGTTCCTTTTACAGTGTAGCAGCCCTTTGGTGGATTATTATTGTCTTAATGCTATTTTGTGGTGATGTAAGGCGAAACCCGTATTTTGTGATTGTGAAGGGCTAGACAGTAGGGTTGGGGCGAGCGGACGGACGGGTTCGTTACTCGCGGACTCAGTCAGAGCGAACGGGTAACGGACGGCCATGAGAGCGAACTGCGAACCTCAAGACAGTTCGTTTTTTTGGGTCCGCTCCACAATTTGACTCTCTCAGCGAGCGGACTGCGGACCTCAAGCCTCAAGTCAGTTCGTTTTTTTGGGTCCGCTCCACAATTTTATTCACTGGGCGGGCGGGCTAACGAACGAACTCTAGCAGACGAGATACTCGACGCGAGATTAGACCCGTCATCTATTGTTTGTTAATTAGGCCTGATGTTTCAAACCACTAGCAGTGCCACAGATAGTGAGAGAGGCTGGTGACGTAGTACTATGTGTGTAACCTTTCACCTCGTGCGTGGGGCACACTGTGTACGTTCCAATTATCTCAAAGACCGGGGGGGGGGGGGGCGGAAATTTCCGCCATGAGCCATGAACGCCTTGCTACAATGTGAGACAGGAGGGTGATTTTTTAATTTAAAAAATTTTTTTTGGGGAGGGGGGGGTGCAAGTTGTAGACATTGGAAGGAGTCGTTCCCGTCCGTCCGTCCGTCCGCCCGCTCGAATACATGGAGTCTCTCGGTCCGCCCGTCCGCTGGCTCGCTAAACGAACTGTTGTCTCTGTCCGATGTGTAGCGAGTAGCGAACTACTCTTCACAAACGGACGGTTCGTTACCCGTCCGCTCGTTTGCGGGTAGTGCCAGCGAGTAGTTCGTTACTCGCGGATGCTAATTTTGCGAGCCCGATCCAACCCTACTAGACAGCAATACCCTAAAGCAATGTAGATCAAGAGAGGAGTTAATCAAGGCATATAGATCTAGAAGCCAGGTGGGACTGTGAAAGGCTAGACAGCAATGTAGATGTAAAATGCCTCCGCGGCGTAGACCAGTAGGAGCAGTGATGCCAAGGCGTCGACCTCGAGCAAAGCCGGGTACTCATCTAGTTAAACATAAACGGGAAGGTCAAGATTCCGAATGAATTCTTGCAGCTGGGCTAAAGCAAAATTCAAGAGAATGACGAATGTTTGTTGTTGTTGTTTTTTTATTATTTGGAAATATCATATAGGTTATACAGGCCAAAATACTTTAAATTTAAAAAATGCATATGCTGTGTTCTTTGTACTCAACCGGCATCAAAATTTTTACTCCTGAAATCTTTTATTGTGATAAATGATTTTTTCAGTTGTTTTGAATCTGTTAACACATCATTGTGCAGTCAAACTCCGTTATACCGCCTGCCTTGGGACAAGCATGAAATTGGCGGTACAGCGGGGCTGGCGGTACAACGAGGTTTTCATGTCCTCTGCTAAATACATGTTGCTCTGACTGCTTATTGTCAGGGGAACCTGTTAACCACAATCGCTAGATGAAGCAATGAGTTATATCTCTTCAATATGTCACTTAGAGTTGAGCGTGAGTCCTGATTAAATAAAAGCCCCTCAGGCATTCGCCATCCTGTAAGTTATTGGGTTGATATTTTGCAGGGGGGGGGGGGGGGTGGCGGAGTTTCTCCAGGGGACTTAAAAATGTAATTCTTTTTTTTTTAAATATTGATCAAGGTCTAAAAATACATCAAAGTTAGATTCTAGTCAGATTCACTCGGGGAGCGAAATTTGAGGCTGAATTACAAAGTTATGTTTTATTTTAATTGTGTTCTTTTACATTACCTAGATCTATCCATATTGTCTGAAATCGACAAGGCAAGATCGGGGAGATGGGATGGGCGGGGAGGGAGCAAATCGGGTAAAAGTGTGTGATCTCGACCTAGGCCTAGCTCGTAGACTTGTGTGTGAAACATTGTCAAACAACCTCCAAGTCAATGTGCCATGCGCCATGTGTAGCCAAGTGTGTACTGTGTACTTCTGACAGCCAGTTCGCTGGCGGTACAACAGGGCAAATTTGCGGTAGTTTAGTAAGGACCAAACAACTGAGACAGTTGGCGACGAGTGGTGTAAAGACGCAAATATCTTGTTTATATAGGGGATTCTTTTCGTACATTGGCAAAACCTTGCAGTAAGCAGGGCTGGCGGTACAACGGGAAGAGGGGGGGGGGGGGGGGGATACAATGAGGTTTGACTGTACAAAAAAAGTTTTAAATTTTGAAGATCATGAAAGGTATCCAAATATTAGCAGGCTTTCAAACAATTTTTTGTGCTCGTTTACATGATCTATCAAAGGTCAGATAGGAATAAATGTCCAAATAAGAATTGTTGAGGACGGTATTTTCTCCCAATGAGTAGGTCTTCATTCTACATACGGTTTTTGAGCTTTTAATGTGTAAATGTATGACAGTATTGACACATGCATGTAATTTTTTGTTTACCAACAGTACTTGAATCTGAGGCTGAATCGTCTTGGTGACGAAGGGGGCCAAGCAATCAGTAGAGCACTTTTGAAGAACAGGACCCTTGTGGAGATTAACCTTGGATCAAATGACCTAGTTGAACCAACAGCTGCTATTTTATCTCAAGTTGTGATGCAGAACCAAGTCCTCAGGTCCATTGACTTGTCTTGCAACAGGCTTGGCCCAGTGAGTACACCTCTGCAAATTGTTTCAATTAGATGAAATCCTAGCTGTATAAATTTTTACTTGCCTTTTTTTAATAGTGGTTCATATTTTCTAGTTTTTAGGTTTATATTATGTAAATGAAAAGTTGGTCCACAGCTCATTTAGTTACAATGAAAAGTGCTCCTTTGCCGCTTGATTCACAGTTTGTCCTTGTAAGTCTGAAGTCCAGCTGATTCTATAATTTTGTAACTCCCCTTTTAGATGGGTTATATCACAATTTAGTTCTCAGTTACATATATATATATAATTAATTTCATTTCACTTCCAGAGAAAGTGCAAAATACATACTTTGTGGGGGAACAGAAATAATTGTGTTTATCTCACTGAATCATGATGGAATTAGATATTTAGCTTTTATCTGCACAATGGGTCACTGAGTTAGAAACTCTATGGGCAATAGCCTTTCTAAGCCTTTCATAAAATAGGTAGCACATTTGTGATCTATCTATGCTTTCAACCTGGAATTAAGATTCAAAACGAAGAAAAATTTACTATTTTACCATGTGTATTCAAAGAAATCTTCACATTCCAGTTCTTGTAACATAACAAGAATCTCGGGGGGGGGGGGGGGGGGGGGGGGGGGGTCCCTAAAAATAATTTCCCCCCCCGGGGGGGGTCAAAAAAAAAAAAAAAGGGGGGGTTTCCCAAATCACACAGTTCGCCTCTGAGGTCGGAGAGACCCGCCGTTTCTTATATTTGGTACCCCCTTTTTGAGGTGGTTATCTCCCAGTCAGTCGCCATGACCAACGATCACAGAATAATATTTCTTGTCCCTCACGAGAGAGGTGCAAATACACGTCGTGTGGGGGGAGAGAAAAAATTGTGTTTTTTTCTTATTCTTGAGGGATGTCAAAATTTTGCTTTTCCCGGCAAAAGGGTTGAGGGGGTAGAAAACTAAATGTCTTTTTGCTGTCTACAACCGGACAAAAATTGGGTCGGCGCTTTGGGGGCCTATCATGTTCTCACCGCGGAAATGAGGTTAAAAAAGAGAGAGAATTTCTTTTTTTTCCGGGGGTGTTTACAGGGTCCCTCCCCTCCCCGTTTTTTTAAATTAACCAAATTTCCCGGGGGGGGGGGGGGGGGGGGGGGGGTTCCATGAAAATTCTTCTCACTGCTGGTTGCTATTAATAGACAGAATTGGCTGACTTTGCCAATTATCTCTGTATTGCAGTAGTCCTGGCAGTCAAAATACAAGGTTTCTACCAGTGACCGCCTTATTATCTTCAGGGTTGAATTTAATTATGTTTGTTTCTGCCACGTTTGAATGGTTCAATTACATTTTTGCTTTGTCATTTCAAGGAGCGTTTTGATATAGCCTACATAACTTTTCATCATATGTGAGGCAGTGTGGTGAAATCAGGTGCTCGTCAAAATAATGAAAGTCAAGATATTGGCATTTTTCCGTAGGTTTAGGAATTTTTATCGAATTTTTTATTTTTGGCTCAACACCTTTCATGCCTTTAAAGAACACATTTCTGTGTGGATTTTACCAAAACCGTGGATTAAAGGCTTAAAAGATGTAAATTTTCAGTTTCCACAGACTCTTAACTCAGTCGCTATGCCGAGCCGTGGGGGGGCGACGCGGCTAAAGTGCCGTCAGTACGCTAAGCCGCCCCGGCGGCTCAAGAACCGGCGTTCAATTTTAGCTTGGTTTCTATTCCAATCCACCTATCCATGTTAAAATAAAGGTCATAATATAATGTTGACTTCCGGGTCAAGCGTTTCGACCGAAAATCGGAAGTTTTGATTCAGTTTTGAAACACGATTTCGAAGTTTATGCGACATTGTTTTATCGCGAAGCCCAAATTATAGCCCAGACACCAGTCTTAGTACCTTTACACAACAAAATGTATCATTATTTTGCTCACTAAAGAAATGTAGGACTCTTCTTTATAATATTGATACTATTGGACTCAAATTGCCAGTGCACTGTAATTGAGAAATCAATATTTGGCCTAGATCTAAATAGTCAAAATATTTTTTCTCCCCAAAATCACTATATACTTTTTGGTGAAATTACTCTAAAAGTACCACTCAAGACATGTATAGGTTTATTCCAAATGCAATTCTGAATAATTACATATAAGATTTTCTGTTTGTGATCCTTTTTTCAAAATTATTTTTAAAATTATTTTTTTCCAATATCGGATGTTATGATCCAAATGTACAAATATTATGGAATGTATGTAAATAACTGCACATTTTAAAAATATTTTACTGTTCTATATACAGTTATGGTTATTTTGATGTATCATTTTACTAGATGCAAACATATTTTTTGAGTTTCACCTGAGATTATTAAATTTTTATTTTCAAATTTTATCCGCATCCAATCACAATTGTGTTGCATAATCGCCTCTTACAGGAACCAAAGTTGAAAAATACACAAATAAACAATACAGATGTATTCTACAAACCATACTGAAAATGTTGGTATATAATATGTTGATATTTATTGTATTTTATGGCCCCAAAGACCTGTGAACTGCGCACTAGTCATCATCACATTTCGCCCTCCCGAAAAAAATTCATCCACAAGCCGAAAATAATACGTAGCGAATGAGTTAAGCTAAGGAAACAACTCAACTTTGGCAGCCGTTTTTTCGCTAATTTTACCTCTGAAACGAGGCGACCCCCACTTCCTTGAATCGCCAATATCTTCACTCGTATCCAAGATAAATGGATATTTTTTTATCAAAAGCAAGGCAAATAGACAGGCTTTAAGATGATACCAATAACTCCATATATGCCCCAAAATTGATGAGCGCTTGATTCCACCGCATCATGACACATATTTTAAATTCAGCTGAGCTTTTGAGTAGAAGTCCTTTTGGGTAAAAGCCATAATATATTGAATGATGATTTGGTCGAACTCAAACTTTTCTAAGTCTTTTTAATAGAAAACAATTGTTCTAATATTAAAATGGGATTTTTTGTGTGTGTGTTCAGGATGGAGGTAAACAACTGCAAGAAGGAATGGAAGACAACACAACAATTATTCACATGGACCTCAGACTGACAGAGTCCGGACAAGAGTCAGAATATTGTATCAACCAGATTCTGCACAGAAACCAGGAAGCTGACAGAGAACACAGGATCAAAGACAGTGAGGCTGCCAATGCTGTGTATAAGAAGACAGCAATAGAACCCCAAGCCGCCCATCGCTATCAGTTGCCTCCTACAGCGATTATTGCTTGAATGTCCAGAATATTTATTTGTGTAATGATTAGAGAGGTAAAGACAGATAACACATGAACAGATGTATAGAATGATCACGTGTATTCACAAGATATAAGCAAACTGAGTTCGCCTCTTATTATTAATTCTCTTGATGTTAGAGTTTCCACTTGGGGTGGGGGAGGGAGGGGGGGTGGAAGAAGAATGTGAATCTTTTGTTGAACTATCATTCTTTTAAACTGTTCTTCAACACACTTATATTTTAAGAAATTAAAATAATGTGTATACTTTTAAAATACGATGTGAATTCGTATAGTCTAGCAGTCTTTTTGCCCTTCTTGTACATTCTGTGCTGTGTATTTTTTTTTTTTTAATTTATTTAAAAAATCCTGAAGGGTTAATTAATTGAAAGAATCTGAAAACTTAGTTATTATGTATGCTCTATGCTTTAAAAACAAACAAACAGGTAAACCCAGAGTCATAATAAAAATGGACATTCTAAACCTGATAATGCTGAACTAAGCTGAATAATGTGATATTAGAAATTGTGTTGATCTATGTTTATGTGGATGGTATTGGAACAATAGGCTACACCTGTATATTTTAGAAATTGACTCAACTGTGTCCAATAGAAGGACGGGAGAGATTGTTTGTACAGTATAAAGTTGAATTGATTAAAGCCACTGAAATTCTATCAAGTCTTCGTGCCCTAACAATATGAGTTATTCTACTGTAAATATACCCTCAGAGCCTATACTTCATTCCATGGTTTTGTAACTCTTACTTTTTGTTAATTAAGCGAAAAGGTATGTGAAAATAGTTTGCCTCATATGGATGGTGAAAATAAACTGTGCACTATCATTACCTATGCTGTGGCTCTTTTAACTCTTTGGGTGGCTACTCTATCAGCTGGCAAGCAGGACTTGTATGAGCACCCGCTGTCATGGTGGACTCCTTTACACGACATCAGTTCCTAAGTAAAAGAAAAAGAATAAACATTTTAGGATTGTTTCCCTTCTTTTTCAGTACAGTACAATATAAGAATCTAGACTGAATAATCCGTGACTACGGGTAATCACGAGTACTTATATTTTATATTTCCCCACTCAACTAACAGATACTGTGTTTGTGTTGTGGGTGACAATCAAAAGGTTGCTTGGCCAATATTATGTTAAAACAGTGTTTTGGTGTGAGCAGTTGACCACACTTAGTTTTACATAAATATCAACTAATTTTGTTACGCTTATTCGAGAACACAACCCTTCGATCTCTGTCTTGGTCTCTCTTTCTGTCTCTGTCTCTCTGAGCTCTCTCTCTCCCTCCTCTTCTCTCTTTCTCTCCCACTCACTCTCTCACCATTTCTCCCTCTCTCTCTCTCTCTCTCTCTCTCTCTCTCTCTCTCTCTCTCTCTCTCACTCACTCTCTCCACATGTCTCGCTCCCTCTCCCTCTCTCTCTCTCTCTTTCTCTCTCTCTTTCTCTCTCTCTCTCTCTCTCTCTCTCTCTCTCTCTCTCTCTCTCTCTCTCTATCTGTCTGTCTGTCTGTCTGTAGGTCTGTCTATCTATTACATATTATATGTACATGCATGCACATCCACGCCTACAGATTTTAAAGAAATAGACACCTGCCTGTTATCTACTCCGTCTGAGAACCATGAGACAGTTTCTACCACCTGTAGCTGCACGTAAAAATGGCCCTCTTTTTTGTGGCTCATTGTTGAAAAGGGAAAAATAAAAATTATAGCAACTCTGACAAGGCACTGGTGGATTGTCCAGATTGAAAGACCAGGCCTTACTTCTTCTTCAGGTATCAGGTCTGGGGCAGATATTGACGATCCTGTTGTCTGCCTTTTTGATCAGATCGCTTTTTATCTTTTTGTTATTCGTGGCAGATGTAAAGCGGGGTGAAGAATGGATAAAGATGAATGAGAGACAGCAGGGAGATTTTGGGAAGGCAGTGATTACGCTGGACAGAGAATGTAGAGAGTGGCCGCAGGGGGCGACAGATGCTGAGATACGACAACTGATTGAAGAAACTTACGACACGGAGATGTGGTTGTATACGGATGGATCTGTTAAACGAGGGGGGGGGGAATCTGGATGGGGCTTCTCAGCAAGAGTGAGTGGCAGATTGGTGCAGTAACAGCAGAGATCATACGATATGACAACATCTAGCATGAGAATGGAGATAGAGGCATTCACTCAGGCTCTCAAATGGGTCACAACTCGACAAGCACTCATGTGATCTTTGTCACAGATTCTCAGAGCACTCTGAGGAAGATTGAGAGTGGGAACCTCAGAGCTGAATGGACAGAGCTCCTGAAGAAGACAACACTGAAAAAGATCACATGGATCTTCACCCCGGGCCTACTGGGGTCAAGGGCAATGAGCGGGCTGATGAGCTCGCTGGAAAAGCAAGACCTGAAAGGAAGCTGTGCCCTGACGAACCAGCGAACCTGCATAAGGTCATAGGAGCGTGCGGGACACTCTGAACCTTTTCAGTTGGTAGGAAATTTGATATTTTGCCCGGGTGGTGGCCGAAACCCACTCTTATCAATTTTGGACCATCAAGGGATCTTTAGCGTGCGCAACTTGCACTCGGGACCTCCGACATTTTTCGCCCTTGTCAGAGAATGCTAGGTGTAGATCTTTCCTACCAGAAGATTAGGGGGTGGGGCTGAAAGACAGCAGTAAGAAGGAGCAAAAGAGTAGCAGTAGAAAAGCTGCAGAAAGAGTCAGGAGCTCAGAGGAGGGGGCAAAGGAGGTGAGGGGGTAGGGGTAGAAAGTGGAGACGAAAGTAGACAACAGAACATTGTTAGAGAGCAGGAAAGATGTGAAAGGAGAAAATTTAAATTTAGAGAAGAAAATGTTCTGTCGCAATCCAGATTCGAACCCGGAACCTATTGAATGAGAGACGAACATCTTAACCTCTAGGCCACGCAGAACTTCCTTTTGAATCTCTTGGAGTCTTGGAGCTTAGACTTTACCACACCACCTGGCTCAGTACCTAGCGCATGTAACCAGTTGGAACTGATTCATTCAGTGAAAGAGGGAGTGTTGCGGAAAGACAGAAACAATAGGAGGGACGAAAAGAAGTATTATGACCTACCAGAGTTATAGTGGCACCCTCTGGCCACCCGCTATTTTTATGCAGATGTTTTTATGCCCTCATCGACACAGTTTAGATAATCTAGGAGGCGGGCTTCCAACCCTTCCTGTCAGGACCAATCCAGGCCGAGATGGATACAACATATTCCAGCAGAAAGGCCCATATGCTCGATAAAAATTTCTCTCCGCTCGGGAATCGAACCCAAGTATCTATGCATGTGATATTGAAGCGCCTTCTATTATAACCGCTACACCAC